ATTATTTTAATAATGAACACGGGCAATCTAATATTTTCAGTACGGTGCCGATGACGAAATTCGTTTATATTTTTATCATCGTTGAAATACGAGAATAAATTTATTTGGGCACGTTTGTAAAATTGCGCGCTTTTCCCCAACATGTTGTCAGGCGATATCAAAATGACTCTGATGTCGATAAGTTATGCTAATTTTATTACTACTGTTATAGTCTGTGCGTGATATACGTGTTTTTCTATCGCAAATTGAGATAAGCTGCGTTGCCACTTGTTACGCTTCGTCAAGCAATGTAACGTCATTAATACCAATTAAAAGTCAATATTGCATGCAATACATACAGTGACTAGAAAAAAATTCAAGTTGCTAGAATAGCGGATTGCACTATCAATCGAATCCGTTCGAGTGCTGATGAAGGATTATGAATATAAACTGTCACGTATCATTTTATAATGTCCATGCTTTTGACAATAACTGACAAGTTGATAAAATGTGCATTTTTACTCATAAAAAAAAATTGTCTGTGACATTAATACCATATTAAATAAATTAATTATGAAGGGAAGAATAATGAGACTCTTTTCCTCAAACCAATAATTATAAACTAACAAATTATGATTCTCTCTCTAAACGTCAATTAATTCTAAATTATAATAATTTAGAAAATAAGCTAAAAGACTTTAGACTTTATGTCAGAAATAGAATTAGAATTTGTCGCCAGGATGCTCCGACTAATTTTATTTCTCTCTCGACGTTAATAAAATTCTATTAGTTTAAAATTATTTCTGTTTATTTATGAAAAAAGGATTTCTATTTTCTTCTTTGTAAATCTCGCATTAAAAATTAATTCAAATTCTAAATACATTAATTTAAGCCAAAAGAAATTACTAGCTTTTTTTTGAGGAATTTGTATTTCATTTTCTGCGTGCATAATATTATTATACGAGATAGAAACAAACAATAGTTTGGTATCATAATTAATTTTTGACCCAAATAATTCGCAGAATTTGTACAAATCCTGTTTTTTTTTATTTTTTTATTTCAAGAGTTAGAAGCGGATTTTCATTTATAACAGCCCCGAAATCTATTCTGACCCGATCGACCACTACCCACTTCGCTATACGGCAGATCGTATAACGCGGTCGCATGCGCTCACTTGCGCACTACATCAGCACACGAGTTCACTTGCACACGTGTACGGCTGCACACATGCGACGAAAACTTTGGTCCCGCCTACACGGGGTATATTTGTGACCGCGATGGCCGCTATCGGTATCTCCGATTCAACGGTCGGAGCCAAGCGATGAAGGTGGAGACGCGTCTGCGCGTCTCCATGCCTCTCTCTTTCTCTCGCAATGCCTTTATTCGTTGAACAGCACCTCTCTTTCTCCGACACGTAGACTATCATTTGATCCCCGCCAAGGTACACGCGGCAAAATCCCCTCTTTAAGACCTGCGCGTTTCTTTCTCTCCGTTTTCTCTCCTCTGACTCCTCTCATCGTATACCCTCATCAACTCCCTACTCTCGACACGCGACGCGACGCGTTCAATTTTCCGCGCTAAACGGATTCAGTGAATAATCTCTTATACAATTTCATAAATCATATTCATTTTCTTTAATTTCTTATTTAAATCATTCAAATAAATGCCCAAAATAATCAAATAATAGCAATAATTAATATTGCAAGTAAATTTCTCACCTCATATATAATTGCTCCACCATTGTTTTCCAAATCTCCTCTTTCTTTCAAGGTTCGTTGCAGTTTCAACAAAAGTTCATTATAATCGCGTGATACTTTGTACGCGACTCCCGAGAGAAGTGATTGTTAAAAACTACGATCGCACGATACTTTATACGGCGCTTCCGATCGCGCGCGCTCACATAATTACAATAGTTTCTCTTTTGGAATAAATCCTTTAGGAATTGAGCCCATTTTACATTAAGATGTACCCACCGAAGGAAATTATTTACAAAACTTTTATTCAATACATCACAAATTGATTATTAATAAATAATCGATGCGTGATGGCTCTCCATTAATTAAATTATTATTGTGAATTATTACTGTGTATTATTCATACAATTCGTGTGCTGCTCCACGTTTTTAAATTGAAAACGATAGGAAAAATTGTAATTAAATCGACGTCAAATTCCAATTTTTTTTGCTGCTATATAAATCCCATAAAATATTTACTTACAAATAGTTCGTAATAATACGTCATGTACTTATGAATTATGGAAACTAGTTAACGCTAATCGTTAATTGTTCATAGAAAATGTTTCGATAATAACAATGCGGAGCAATTCACGTCGCCGTCTGTCTGCTCAAGCGTCGCCGTGTGAATGATAGCACGGCGACCTTGTGTACGCAACTATCTACCACAAAAATAAACCCCAAGGCTTTTGTCATCAGCATTTTCTCCATAGAATATTCAATGTATTGTAAAATAACTACCAAATATTCTATAACCGAATATTTTCCGATTGCTTACATTTTGAATTTCAATGATTAAACTGTCGCCGCGTATTTCGCGGTTTAACGTAACAATAAATTGAATAAGGTACGCGAATATAATTCTTTTTATATTATACAAATCAAAATTTTTCTCACTTCTCGATTTCTCTCTTTTTTTCTTTTGCGCAAATATATTTCAGTATATCTCCTTTTTCGTACAAGCTATAATGTATGTTACCTGTTCGCTTTCGGAGGCTGATTCCTGCATCCGTCGCGGAGGGTTGACTCGTAGGACCATGATGGTATTACGATCGATTTCTTTGAAAAATCCGAGACAATGGGATAACTGTAGGTGGCAAGGCCTGTAAGAATTCAATATCTATTACCTCCCGTTGCCTGAGTTTTCTTCGTATTTATTTTAAAATTTTACTAATATTTGTGTTTATCAATATTTATACAATCATGTTGCAAAAATTATATATTAACATATATTTTTATTTTTCTTAGATATTATAGATTGAAATTATATACAGGATCCCCTTAAAAAGTTTGGAAACGCTCAAATATCTGGAAAACGATCAATTCTAGCGAAATTGCATTTGTAAGAAATAAAATTACAGGGTTTAAAAAATGTATCTAACGGTGATAAGAGTTTGGGTGATAAGACTTTAGGTGGAGTCTGTAAGATCATACAAAGCACAATTGAATTTCTTAAATCGAACCTTCCATTTTTTTATTGCATATTCTTGTAACTTATTTCAAGAATTTTTCAGAACACTATGACAATACCAACTTTCCGTAACAAAATAAAATACTTTTTCGTAAAGTAAATAAAAAATAGTCGGTTTCATTTAAAAAATTCAACTTGATTTTTGTGTGATTTTGCAGACTCCACTCAAAGTCAAACTCTTATCACCGTTAGATACATTTTTTTTTAATCATAATTTACTTTTTAAAAAAAGCAAATTTTTCGGTAAAATTGATCGTTTTCGAGATATTTTAGTTTTTGGACTTTTTGAGAGTCATGTATATGTATATATTTTTTTTCTACTAAAATATTAATAACTCGCAACTTTAATTAAGAATGATAATAAATTATCAAAAGTACTGAAAAATGTATACGTAAAAATACATAAAATAGAAACAAAAAAATAGAACTAAATAGGCATTTGTTTCTGTCAAAACAAGAATCCCATGTCCATGAACATATCTTATACATTTAGCTGATGATATCTGTTTTCTCTACATTTTGCGGCGCAAAACGCGCCACGTTCTATGCATTGCAGCGCTCAAATGGGTTGCCACCAGATATGGTGAAGCTGCATGTTATTCTAAGGGAGATACGTATCCTAACAATGAGACGTGTGGGCGGCACAGGATTCACGTACCAAAATGGACGCGATGTACGAAAGATATCGATGTATCGGGCTACGTATATACTATTTTCGTTTCTAACAATACCGTGAGATAAATTCTTGACGCGCCGCAATAGTTAGTAAATGTCGTTGTGAGATGCATAATGCATAATAAAATCGCGCAACACACGTGCGGAAATTGTTTTCAACCATAATTGCCAATTATTGTAAGCAAAAGACTTACCATATTATAGTTCAATTGTCTCAACTATTGCAAGTAATAATAAGAGAAATTAGAAAAAATGGAATTAATTCTCTAATAATTTTGTGCACGTAATAATCTTGCAAAAAATCTATGTACATTCAACAAAATTTTAAAAATGTTACAGTTAAAAATATTACATACTTATTAGTGCGCACATAAACAGAGCCAAAAAGTATTTTACGTCGCGGATAAAGCTGAATATCCTTTCGATTAATGTTCTCATTGCCTGCAGTCGTAATAAATTTTCTTCAAAGTTTGAAAAACGCTCGATCGAGTAAATCGAAGGACTTCTAGTTCCGCGACTACAAAATCGTTCCTTTACACAGGCAGACAAGACAGAAGAGGCCCGACGGCGACCATGACAGGATTTGGCATTTATTCACGATCCTTGGTCTCATGGGCGGCCCATGCCGCATTTGCTCGTCGTCTAACATGATGACGCTCGGCGGGATCTCAATATGCACGGCCGGTTATCGGCTCTAAAGGGATCATTAACATTATCTGCTGTAGGATGTATTATTGCCATATTACCGGCGTAACGATATATCTTTCCATGGTAGCAAAATGAGATTGCCGGCGGCAACCCTTTAGCACGTAAAGTACTTGCCGCCGTACTTTGCGCTTTTGCACTTATATTTTGTATTGTCGGCATCGACTAAAGAGACTAAAGAGACTTGTTTTTTTAATTAAGGGAAATTTCGCATCATAGATACTTATGTATATTATAAAGATGATTAATTATAATTTACGAATTATTGAAATATGCGAATCGCAATCACAATTGTCATTATTAAAAATTTTACGATATTAAAATCGTTAACAGAATTTATACAACCCGCCGAGGGAACAACATTCAACGTGCATACGCATTTTGTAGATTCAAATGGAGATGGTATTATTAATTTTCAATGTCTCTATTTTTGACAGATGCCACGGTGGTAGCTCTCGAGGAGGATGTTCCACGGGGGCGGAAGTGGCGGGTACGGCGCAAGTTCCGACTACCAGCAGCAGTCTCAACAGCAGCAGCAGCAACACGGGCAACAGCTCCAGGCACCCGTCTACGTTCCATCGTCTAGACCGGCGATTCCATCTGCAGCCACGGCGGCGCAATATCACTCCTTCCCTACTTCGCCTTCGCCCGCATGGTACAATGACCTTTGAAAAATCGTTGATACGCGCGCGACACACGTGCTTGAAATCGCATTACAACTGAACGTAAAATATGCTTGATCCTTTGAAGGGAGAAGACAGCATCGTGGCAACACGGAGTGGAGACGTATGCGGCGCATCACGCGCTCGCCGGACACACGAGCGGCACCGCGGCGGCGATGGGTCCGCACGCTGGGCCTGGCCATCCGCACGCGGGACATCCGCATGCGGCGCATCCCCATTCAACCCTCGCTGCGGCCGCGGCCGCACCGTTCTATGCGCAGAACGTCGCGATGATGTCCTCGTGGCGCGCTTACGACAGCGCCGGCTTTCAACGTGCATCGCCTTATGGTTCGTACATGTGATTTTTGATGAACGAGATGTAAAAGTTTTTTGCGCTAGTGTTTCAGTAGATGCTATAATAATAGCTTATACGCACTTGGAATAAAATATGATACGATTAAATAATACCAATATTGATATTTCTGAAATAGAGAAAATGAGGAAAGTTATAATTGGAATGTTCGTCTTGAAAAAGTAATTAATCAGTATTATCAGTGTAAGTATCAGAATAACGAACAAACTCTAAACTCTTTCTTAATTAAACAATATTGACTAGATAAATATTAATTAGTTATATCAGTGTGGTTGTATTAAGTTATATTATAATTATTGATATTATGCTCTTTATTCGCTGCAACGTAAAAATCTCACTAATGTAATTGGATTTCATTCGCCTATTCTGCCCTATACTTTTACTCGCGATGGCGCGTGAAAACGGAGGTGCTCGTATCGCTTTTCGTTGGCGTGCATCACGCGTGAAGTTGCAATGATAAACAAACAAAAGTTATGGGAACTACCCGTACGCCGCGGCGATAAGATATGTAGGCATGCAATTTCCTATGGTGCCGATTAGTTTATCGAAACCGCAGACGATATCACGAATGGAGTTCGCGAGGCGAGGTACCCGTGGAATTTTTAAACGTACCGTTTCTGCGATGCGACTTAAAACCTTCTGGTGAATCTTTTATTTTCATGTTGCTGAGAGACGAGGGCTTTCTAATCGAAACTTTCTAAGTGAATCATGCGCAGTAATAACAACCGCTTGACGAAATTGTCTCATTTAACTTTTTATAAGATTTTATAGTTAGGTATTATTCACGGGCATCGTGTCGTATAGTTGTGACTCTTTTGACGATACCCGACAATAAAATAACGTATTAACGTGCGTAAAAAGAAGCATTTAACTTCGTGATTAACGCTGACTTCGTGACAGCACTGCTCGGAAGAAAAACGCTGCGCCGAGACGAGGAGAAAGAAGCTACTTTCCTTCGCGGATGCTATTCGCCACCGTGCACGCGGCGGGCCATGTGCGATGGATAAGTGATAGCGGTGTCTTTGAAGTGAGCCGGGTCGATCCCGCGGTCAAGTGTTTTACAGCGTACCGACGGGAAATCGGTTCAGAGAGCTAGCGCGGGCGGATGCTTCCTCTGGAGAGTGCAGGAACAGTCCGTCGCGCATTCTCTGCCATGCTTTGCTCCGTACTAACTTTAAATCCCGCTACGGGTGTCCTCGAGTTACGTCTAGATAAGATGTAAAGAACGGTCTTATCTCGACAGTTCAGCGCGGATGAAACAGATCTCGGATATTCACGCGTGGTGACGAGTAGAATTAGCATTAAAAATAAAAGACGAATGTCGCGTGATACACGTGAAGAGAAACTTGGAAAAGTTTGTAGTGAAGTTAACATCGTCATATGTAAAATAGAATCTAAATCTCTTATTTTTCGCGATTTATTGTTAGCGTTTTTAAATTATCTTTAATCATATAATATTTCATTATTGTTGGAATTTCTTGCTAATTTCAAAATTTGTACTAGCTTCGATCTCTGGTCTATAAATGACAATAAACGTTAAATTAATAAACTTGTTAATCAATCGAATATGAAAATGATTACAGACACCGCGATGGATTTCCAGTTCGGTGAGGGTCGCGAGTGCGTAAATTGCGGCGCGATATCGACGCCGCTCTGGCGGAGAGATGGCACTGGCCATTATCTTTGCAATGCATGCGGACTTTATCACAAGATGAATGGCATGAATAGGCCGCTCATCAAGCCCTCAAAACGCCTGGTAAGTTCATCCATAAATGATCATAATAATGTTTCACCAGTATGCCTATATATGTAATATATGTATTCATTTTTCGAAAAACCACCTTTCTATACCATGAAAAAGTAATATAGGATGTTGTATTCGCGAAAAGAATTTAATTTTTAACAATAATTTTTAGCATCAAATTTTACTAAATTAACAAAGATATTTACAAGTACCTTCATATATTAAGTTGTTTCACATCTTTAACATTAATTAAATATCTTTTAAAAGAGATCTGTTTGATTTTTCTAACAAGAATATCCTATTCACGATAATTGCATTTGCATCACTTGAGCCGTCTTGACATGTGTTACAAATGGGACAGATGTCGGAATTTCAGACCGCGACAAGGCGACTTGGGCTGTGCTGTACAAATTGCGGCACCCGCACCACCACTTTGTGGAGGCGCAACAACGAGGGTGAACCAGTATGCAACGCTTGTGGATTATACTTCAAATTACACGGGGTCAATAGGCCGCTAGCCATGCGGAAGGATGGCATACAAACAAGAAAAAGAAAACCGAAAAAGACCCCAGAGCAGAATGCTAGATCGTCCCAGGGAGACCATGAAACCACTGCCTCGACTACATCCTCCCCTTCCACAGGTTGGTAAATACTAAATTTCTCTTTTCTCTTGTGCAGATATGTACGAAATATAAAAATATTAAACTCTAAAGTAGATAATAAACTTGTATTTTAGTACATAAGTAAACTAAAGAAGCAATAATTTTATAGGAATTTCAATTTTATACAACTCATTATTTACAATTTAAAAATTCGCTTTTTAATTTTAAATTATATTTATCATATATATCAATATATTAAAATAATTTCCTTTATATTTATTTATTAATTAAGTATTCATGTCCGATTTCTTTACTTCCGTTATTATTTACAACCGTTTATTGTGAATGTCGCGAATATTTCTACAGAGTTGAAGAACAATCAGCAACAGCAGCAACAACAGCAGCAGCATCAGATCGAGGTGCCAAAGTCATCAGGCTCATCGACATCGACCGATAGACCTGTTTACCTCGGACATACCTCTCTCCTGGCCACTGGAAGTGTACCTGCTGTGAAAACGGAACCGCGGAGCTGCGACGGCGTCGTTGGTCAGCCGTACTCATCTTATTATCAACATCCCCATCAACTTGCCGTTACAAGTGAGCACCAGCAACAGAGTTATTACAGCACCCAGGAGGCGCCGTATCATCATCAACATCATGTCACTACAGCGGCTAAATTACTCGCGTCCTCGTAATTGTTTAGCAATTGAAGTTCGTTCGCTAGAAATCGCCACGAAAACAGATTTAGACGCGTCAAGAGATTGGATAAGATTTTTTCGCAGTATGGATTAATCAAGAATTTACCAAGAAACTTATATGAAAGATTGCGTTATTAATAATGAATTATTAATAATGAGTTATTAATAATGAATTTAGAAATGAAGATTGTGATTGAAATGTCATCCGATTGTTTGGAAAGACAGCAAAAGAGAATAACGAAATTAACGATTAATATACTTCTTTGACAAAAAAAATGTGGAAGAAGAATTCTTCTACAACATGGGACTAGTCAGTGACGTGCAAATTGTTTTGAAATTTAAAGAAAAAATGTCGGCAATGTCGGCAAGAAGCTGAAATATTATGAATTCAAGAGAACGGTACTATTTCTCAAAAAAAGAATACGTAAGTTTTCGAAAGGTGATTATATTATATAGAAATCTATGCGCGAACACTTTAATGTGTAATAAAATAATATAAGACGAGAAATATCAACACAATGTGTCTCTCAAAAACTTTGATTTTCAACGTGTCGTTAATAGATAAAAAGAGAACTGGATCTCTAGTCAATGACAGAGATAAACAAGTTATAAAATACGACGCGTATTGAAAATTATTTCACTAGTTTTTAGCGATAGTAAATTGGAATCACGAGAAAATAAGACAAAACTATAAAATGCTAATGTGAGATGCAGCATATTTCCATATTTAACTACGCGCTTTTTGCGTTTGAATATCCAAGATACATGTAAATAGCTGAGTTACAATATAATTAGTATGACAGTGCTTCCTGGTTTGACAAAAGCGCAAAGATACTTAATAAAAATGATGGATTGGCAAGGCTCGTGTGCAACAAATAGAAATATGATCTTTGCATTTGAAGAGCAATGAAACATTGCACTTATCAAGCTGCTACTTTTCAGTTTTCTAATCAGATAGTAATATTTCGACTTCTTGATTAAAACGAAAGATGTCCAACGTTATTTAAATGTCGAAATAATATTTTTTATACTTTTTTCGATTATTTCACAATTTTTTTGTTACACAACAAATGCACGCGCAACCAGAGTACTTAATTGTAAATAATCTTCATGGTAAACTATTGCAATATTAGAAATAGATAGATTTTTTCGGCCTCGACGACTTCATTGCTTTACTTACTATTATACTGGATTAAGACTTTTACTTAACTCTCTAGACTTGAAACATGTATTTTGCGTAAAATGTTTTTTATGGTAAAAGAGAAATTACTATTTATCGTGCTTGCCTGATTTATCGGTAAATAATAAGCAATTAAATTTATAATCATAAGAAATAAGTGAAACAGATGCAAATTATTAATTGCAGTGGCCGAGGTTGATTTTTCGAGGCACGAATACAATATTATCAGATTTAGCCATAATCCCTGCACGAATATAATAATGATTCACTTTGAAAGATAAATAGGAAAAAGTCTGATAAGCCATTCTTATATAATTTATTGATTCGAAGCCGTTGCCACGGTTTCTTGACGAATATGTTTAATTAATATTAATCAAGAATGAATGATTGTGTATAGTTCCTCTGTGTAACACTACTTCTGCGATGCGCAATAAATAATTTTACTCAATTAAAATGACAGAGAAGTTGCATTCTTCTTCTCAGCTAAAGAAAGAGAGATCCTATTCAAAATAACATGACTTAAACTTAATGTCGAATAAAAGATAAATCAATCACGTTGTACTTCTTTAGTTTGTTAAAATACCCGCAATAATAGCGATGTTATAAGATAATTTGAAGTTTTATCTTAAATGTTTGTATATGGACAAATAAATTATTCAATGTGGAATTAATATTGATATAAAGTATCTTATAACATAATGCACATATAATATTTGTAAAATCAAACGCTTTTCTATATCTTTTGAATTGTATTATCGATAAATGAAAAGATTTAAAAACTTTTCTGTCGAGTAAAATTCAGAATACGCGATTAATTATAATATACGCGAAAATAATAAATTAAAAAAAAAACTGTGAAGTTTTATTTAGTGTATTTTTATGTATTCTCCAAGCATCAAACGATATTGTAAATCAAGAAAATAAATTTTTTTTAATAAAAAGAGATTGCAATTTTGATTCTACAAAAAAATTGTTAATTAATTAAATAATTTTGCGTTTATTTTTCTGGCAAAAATTTGAAATAATTATTATTTTTCTTTTTACCGGACTGAAGAGTTGAATACGACTGTCTCTGGAATAATTTCACAATCGAACAATGATGTCACGCTCGATCAGTCTATCGCAAATATTATTCTTCCGCGTTTTGACGTTCAAAGTGACATGTCGGACAAATCCAACTTACCTCCGTCCATTTCCACCACCAACGAGTTAAGTCTCCCTCAAACAGGGGTGCGTTCCACGTCCTGACAGAGTTTGCCTTCGTTCGCGAGCCCGGTCGGACGATCTTGATCATTGCTCGGATTGCGCGATTCATATTCGAATCACGAAAACACGCCCGATTTGTGTCATCTTGAGTTTATTACACTAAACAAAAAATGGGTAAATATCTATTTTAATTTAGTCAATCATAAATAAAAATAATACATATTTCGATCATAATATGATTGCGTGTAATAGAAATTGCTTAAAAAATAACGAAGAATTTCTTTGTAATAAAGTTAATTTGTAATTAATAGTAATTTTTCTAAAATTAATCTCAATGCAAATTTTTAACTGGCAAATGATGAAACATTTCTCATAATAGGAAGAACTCTGCCCACACCAGTGACCTGTAAAGTGTGTGGTGATCGATCATATGGGAAACATTACGGTGTTTATTGCTGCGATGGTTGCTCGTGTTTTTTCAAGAGATCTGTGCGTCGCGGCGCTTTATTCACTTGCACAAGTTCGTACTTGTTTAACCCAGAAGTAGTAAAATATATAGAATATCTCAGTATCAAAAGAATACTAGGAAATGCTGCGCGCGCGTGTAAATATCACATAGTATCATATTAATAATCAGGCCTGTAATCCTTCAGATAGTGATGGATCTTGTACCGTTGACAAAGCTAGACGAAATTGGTGTCCACATTGCCGTCTAAAGAAATGCTTCTCGGTTGGTATGAATACAGCGGGTAAGTAAAATATTTAACATATTTAAAAAGATATTTCTTAATACTTGAATACTTATTGTTAGTGAATCAAGTTTTAAAATTGATACAAAATGTTAACTACAGATTATTTTTTGAAGATTATTTGTTGTCTACATTTGTACAAAGATCAAGACATATTACCAATTGTTTGCATTGTTTTGCACAAAGTTACAATTTAAACATCTTTATTCCTGTAAGAATTATAATTGTCACTTTTTCTCAAAATCAAATAAATTTAATTTTAATTTAATTTATAAATTTATTCCCATTCTAAATAATATTAAGTTAAATCGATATGAAATCTAATACTGAACATAAAATCACCGCCGACAAGTAAACATAGTAGCAAGGTGCTAACGAACTCAACGAGATACAAACAATGGCTGGGGTAGGACACGTGCCTTCACCCTTAACGCTATTCAGAAAAGTTAATTGACAGCGGAATCGTAATCTGGACAATCGATGTTAATCTCACATTTATCTTATATTCTTTTATTTCGGTAAGATATATATTTTGTAACTCAATATTAGTAACACACAAACATTGTGTTAAATAAATAAAAAATGTAAGAATTATAGAAGAAACTGAGAAAGAAACTTAAATCTGTTAGAAATAACGAAGACAAATTGCGATAGGCATCTTTCATGGATAATCCCGTAAATAATTTAGTAGTAGCCATTGCCATAACGTGTCATGTGAAATGACATCGAGTGTCAACTCCGGTCGTCAGCTCTTAAGTACACAAAGCATACCCTATGATCGGAGAACTAAAGCCACCCTACTGGAATTGTTCAACTCTAACATCGTTGTTATGCGCACCTTCACATCAATTAAAATACAGACGTAAATGTTAAATAAAATTATATAATAAAAAATATAGAAATATATTTAAATTTTAGATATGTTTTAACAAATTTTTTAATCGCTGTCCGAATAATCTCTTACCTTCTGGAAATGTTTATTCTATTCGTTTTAAAATCAATTAATAAATCAATTATAAAAATTATTGGTATATAAATTTACGAAAAATAATGTTCTTTATATTTTTATATAAGGTATATTGTTGAGTTTTTAAAGCAAATATTTTCACAGCGGTGCAGGAAGAACGAGGACCGCGTGCTCGAAATAATGCGCTCTCAAATCCGCATAATTCTAACGTTACCTGGAAGCCTAGAATCGATTCATCAACGACTTTTTGTGCACGCTTTAATAACTCCGAGATATATTTGCCTTTCAAGAACTCCACACTGAATAATACTCTAATGACAAAGACATTACGCGAGTCTGAAACCAGAGAGAATATTTTCTTTCCTGTCATGTCACGCCATGCACAGCCGACAAGGATTATATCGCCCGGTAATTTTCTTTCTTTGGAATATTTAAGTTATCCAACTCTCGACCAAATTTATCGAACCACTGCTGTATTCCTAATAAAATATAAAGGCTTATTAATTCTTTTTTTAAATCAATTTCGATAGTTTCAGAGAGAAACTCTGCGGAATAATGCATTTACAGTAATTGCGATTACATTTTTCCGATAATGCAATTGAAGTTTATATTGTATACAGGCACGGCTATACAGTATGAAATATCCGCGCAAATATTCCTGGCTGCTATTCGGAATGCACGTCATCACCGAGATTTTTCGATACTGGATGAGGAGGAGCAAAATAAGATTCTTCGTCGTGGATGGTCCGCTCTTTTTGTTTTACGCGCAGCCACGTGGCCGATTGATTTAATGAATATACGAGGGCAAGGTGCAACGAGTAACGACAGTGCTTCAGCCTGCATAATTACAACGCGCACTGCAATCGCAAAATTGCAACTCGACGATGTCGAATTGTGTATTTTAGACACGTTTGCGCTATGTCGTCCCGGTAAATAAAAGCTAATGGATATCAGCACATAAAATCCGTATAACTTTTCGATAACGTATGCGTAAATTTCTCGATGATAAAATCATGATTACAGCGATAAATCATTCGAAATTACAGAGATCGCCGATACTACCAACGGTTTCCACGTAATGTCACAAGCGAGAAATAACGCCGTGGAAGCTCTAATACGACATCTTCAACAGCGAGACGATCGCGAGAACAAACTGGCGAGGATTCTATTTATTCTACCTGTTCTCACTGGATGTTGTTCTCGAGAATTGGCTGAGGAATTGTTTGCACCAATTATCGGCGACGCAGATCTGGAAAGAGTTATCGCATCTGTACGATAAATCTCTCGCAACAATAAAAATATTTAATCGATACTCGCACATTATCAGATCTGATTTAATGGATATTAATCTATAATCTATATGATAATCAAGATACACAATAAATATATAATATGGTCAATAAGAAATATAAAAGTATATACAGAGTGAATCAGAATGCATGATTGTTTAGTGATAGTTTTTTTTGTACTTATTTTCACCCTAATTTAATTGATCTTGTCCCTGCAGTGGCGTTTATTTGCAGTCTACATTAGTTGGAACATATGCCTGCCTTTATTATATTTGGAAAATATTAAAAATATCAGATATAAAACATTGTACGATTAATGATTTTTTGATTGTTGAAGATAACTTTGTAACATTTATGGAACCTATAAAAATGTCATCGTTATTTTGTAGATACATACGTAAGGAAATAAAATGTTAGCTGTTACACTCAATCATAATGTAAAGAATAAAACCAAAAAATTAACCATAAACCATAGAATAAAGATAATAACTAACTGATATTGTAACATTGACAATCCTTCATATATTCCTTAAGATATAAAATATACTTTTTTATTGATAACAAAATAGAAATTCAGAAAAAACACTATATTTAATACAACGTATAGAACTCGGAGAAGAGATTTAGTTGGCTAAATGACCCAATAAAATTTGCATATGATAACGCATCTATATCATTTATTTGACGGAGACAAGCTAGCAAGAAAGTAACGAATATTCTGTAACGAACGTACGGTAATGTATGTAAGTACTTGCAAGCTCATAAACTGATCGATCGAAGTGATGGGCGATTATTTTAAAGGTATATGACGAAATGAAAAGTATGTCGGTTAAATTTAACATAAAATTGCGCATTAGAAATTTTAGTGCGTGCTATTACTTAATGTATAGTAATTAATGTATAATATATTCCTATCTTAAAATTGCCGCGTTGAAGCCTCTTTTCCCCAATGTTTAAAAATTCATATCTTCCAGAAACATAAAGATATAGACTTCTTTCTGGGCAAACGCGCGCCTGTTATGTACTAGTAATGTTAAAATTGATGTTAATATTTCACCTCTCACTCTATCACAATTGTAAGTCTAGCACTCCCATAACAAAAAAAGTTTGACTATGCCATAATTAAATGTTCATTCATTACTAATTTATGAATTTTTGCTCTAGTCACGAATTTCTGGCTTCTACCCATTCGCAGGAAATTAATATCAAAAGTGGGGGAGAAGGGGTACCGATAAACGATTGTCTCCAATTTTTTTTAATAATAAGAATGCTAGGTTCACAATATATGTACCTGCCTAATTGTTATCACTACAAATATCACTTAATTACCTCTGAATCGGCCGTGGAACATCTCATTAAGAAAAATGACTGGCGATGGTTACAAAATGATCGTGGAATCAGCGGATTTTTTCGGGTTTCCATATGATGGGTAAACAAGAATGAGGATTAAGTTATTACATCGTCCGATATATTTGATTTTGAATTGCGATTATCACGTAATTTACAATCTCGACTACTGCACACTAATAAACAACTGTCCGTTTGCATAAATATAATGCAATGTACGTAATAAAACAATACTTTAGCGTGTGACATGACACTGCTTGTAAGGGGAATAATGGTTAAATGTGCGAAATTACGCGAAAAGACAAACGTCGAAACGCCGCAAATTAATATCGCATCTGCGCAAAAAATATACTACTGGTAGAAAAAAAACCTGAGAGAGAGGACATGAGTGCCCTCATGCCTGCACTAACACCCCCTGGAGAAATGGATGTAAACTACGTAGCAACATTCACTCTGACACAACTGAGAAATTATTTTTTCAACGTTGGCAGTCTTGTCTCCAAGATCAATTCGGGCTGTTCGGGCCCGTTGGTCATTCCTAACCTAATACTGTAAATTTACTGTAGCGAGCATCTTATCAAATATTACTTCCGGAAATTATTAGAGATGCGATGTACGAAGCTTTTATTAGCGGTTACCGTTTAGCTGATGTGTCACATGGCAAACCCTATTATGTTTACTGTATCGAGATTCTGGAGTCAAAGACTGGCACTCGATATTTTATCGAGAGAAGATACAGCGAATTTAGTGCATTACATCGTAAGGTACAGTACGAAAATATCAATTATTAATAACTGATATAATAATAAAAGAAAAAAGCACTCGTTTATGATCAATCTTTCCATTACATTTCTTTTAATACGATATTATAAAAATGTATTATTCTTTTTCAGCTGAAGAAGGATAATTCAGATATTGCACCGTTTCCACCAAAAAGAGTAAGAAACTCGCAACCGAAAGTATTGGAACAGCGACGAGCTGCTTTGGAATTGTATATACAAAAAATGCTAAGTCTATTAGCAACAAAACAACAAGTTCTCAATTTTCTAGGTATAGAAAGCCAAGAAACTGCGTTCCAGCAAAGGTATTTAGATAGATTAAATTAATAGAAAAGTAAGATAAATATATTGTGTTCCTAATTTGTAAAGAAATGACAATGTTTTTTTTGTGTAAGATATATTTATTATAATAACACTTGTTAAATTAGCAAAATAAAATTTAGCGCTTAAATATTTTATTGAAATTTTTATAAACATTGTAGCATGGTGAAGTTTTAACAGTAGCAATTAATTTTGTCATTTTTAACTTTTTAAGGATACATAAAGCTGCAGATAGTTCAACGCATAACCAACCAAACATGTTGGGACATCATCCGGTCTTGACTTTTCACTGTGATCCATATGTTCCAGCTGACTCAACCAGCAGTCTCACAGATATTGTAACTAATGGTGTTTTACTAGGTATATATAAATCTTGATATTATGAGTGATTTTAAAGGTTGAAACAAGTATAAGATGTACTTTTTATAAGTGGATAAGTTTATTTTTTTTGCACTTTTTAAAATAATATACTGAGATAATTTTTGATGTATATATCAAAGTGAAGAAAATGATAAATTTAATATTTTTATTTTATATAGAATCTCATGTATATAATATATAGCATATATGTGTTATGTCTAAAATTCAAAGCATATTTGACAAATGAGCAAGCAAGAGAAAATGCCACTGCATATGATTTATATAGCTCAGTGATTTGGATTGACGCTAGGATTTAGTAGCAATTTATAATTTAACTTTTATATTAATGTCCATTGCTTTTTTCCTTTTAACAACATATATCTCGATGTGTATAACTTTATTCTTTACTTTCGCTTTTTAAACGTAACATTTAAATGTGACTGACGAAATTGTATGTAAAATTTGTTTGTAGACAGGTACATACTCAAAGTTTAATTATATTTATTTTATAGATTTGATTTTATATACTATATAGTTGATAAAAAAATATCTGATTTTCCAATATGACAAATATGTAACATTATGTGTAAGAAATGTTATAAGAGAAATAAAATTAATAATGCTAAATTATTAATTATGCTTTGCGTACTTGTTCAAAAATAAATGAATACAAATAAATTTTTTATTTGATCGTACTGAACAATAGATTGTTATATGTATGCATACAGTACCATGTGAAAGACCCCTTTTTTTTCTCGGCTACGGGCTAACCAGTTTTCGGTCTAATTATTTTAGTTGCTATAGTTTAGTGCCATGCACAGTCATATTGGCACAGTAATATTTGTTTTGATATATAATACTATAATTATACTGACTATAATGCATTAATTTTCGAAACAATTTTGGCGTAGACAAGATGTTTCTATAAGTTGACATATATCGGATAATTCGAAAACACATTCGGTTACAATAAACAATAAAAAGCTCGTTGCTCGAGTGAGGACATGGCTTAAGAGAAGGTAAACCTTGCTAGAGAAATATAAAGTTTTGCGAGAAATAGAAAGAAAAAGAAAGAAAAATATAGCATATATAATACACGATTAGCACGGACACGAACCACGTTCTAATGCTATGATAAATGATTTGATCGACAATGTTGTATAGACGTGGTACGTGGTTCCTTTTTTGAAAACGTGGGGCGCTAGTGTACGGAGGAAGCATTCTTGTTCTCATTGTCAGTTGGCATATACATTGGACTGGACTCGGAGTGAATTCTCATTTCTCCAGTTCTCCACATCGTGCAGTTCGATGCAAACGCGACTGAAAAAGTTAAAGGGTCATGTCGGCGGAGCTGATCGGAGTCGATCGGAGTTGATCGACTCTCGTCGTTCAACACCCCGACAACGGTGAACGGCGACAACGGCGGCGGTCGGCGAGTGGCGACAACCATCGGTGAAGCACGGTGACGGGTGAAGCTTCGCGGACTGGCAGTGGTGGGCTCCGAGCCGAGCTGCCGAATGAGACTGTGACGCCAGCAAAGCGGATTGCGACTTCCGTCTCTGTCTCTCGCGCTTTGTCTCACCTCTGCACAATGAAAGTACGCGCGAGAGTACGTAGAGTGTGAGTGGGGTGACACGGTGTGTTGGCGAAAAAGAAGAGGCGAAAGAAAAAACGGTGAGGGAAGGTGGGAGAGAAATCGTCCGTTTCGCGAGCCGTCATGGCTGATGTGAATCATTGTGAGCGATTCTCGTAGGAAACCGATAACAAATGACGCCGCGGGTGATTCATTAGGGTGGTGAAAAATCGCGGTCTCCATCTCGCGATACAACAATACAACGGTGTGTTTCGATATCTCTCTGGGCATCTGTCGACTGCGAGACTCGACCGAGTGTGCCGAGCAGTGTGCCGACTGCCATTTGATCCGCGATCGCTGGAACAGCTCCATGCCGAAGCTTCACGAGAGGAAGACGTGATAAAAACGAGAAAGAGAGAGAGAGTGAAAGGAGAGAGAGAGAGAGAGACGGTTTTTCGTGCGTGTCCTCGGCGGTGCGTGTCCGGTGCTACACGATGAACGGGTTAAGCCTGAGTGAACTGTGTTGCCTGTTCTGTTGTCCGCCCTGCCCGTCCAGAATCGCAGACAAATTGGCCTTCCTACCGCCCGAGCCTACGTACACGTTCGTCGAGGACGAGGGCTCCAAGTTCTCCATCTCTCTGTCGGAACGCGCCGAGTGGCAGTACACCGAGCGCGAGAAGGAGTCGGTCGAGGGCTTTTATGCGAGGACGTCACGCGGCAACCGTATAGCATGCCTGTTCGTACGTTGCTCGGCGACCGCGCGTTTCACCATCCTCTTTTCACACGGCAACGCCGTCGATCTCGGCCAGATGTCGAGCTTCTACCTCGGGCTGGGCTCGCGCATAAACTGCAATATATTCAGCTACGATTACTCGGGCTACGGGGTGTCGGGTGGCAAACCGTCCGAGAAGAACCTCTACGCGGACATCGACGCCGCGTGGCACGCACTACGTACACGGTACGGCATCAGTCCGGAGAACATCATTCTCTACGGCCAGAGCATCGGCACTGTGCCCACAGTCGATCTCGCTGCAAGATACGAGGTTGGCGCGGTAGTGCTGCATTCACCGCTCATGTCCGGGATGCGAGTTGCTTTCCCAAAAACCAAAAGAACTTGGTTCTTTGATGCTTTCACTAGGTAAGCGAACAAATTCTCCTCGGTCAAATAACTTTTTGGTTACAGAAGATGTGTGAAAGTCTTCGTGTGTTTTATCAGGCCAGATGAGACGGACGGATGGCATCAATATACATTTTATCCATTCTTTCTAATTAGTTTTCGAGTTTTTTAAAATGATCAGGTACTACGTGAAGAGATAAATAAGTATATAATAAATTATTTTTTCTAAAGATGCCAAACACCTAGAAATTGGTTTCTATATTGTAACATTTGATAAAGAAACATCCATAGGGCTGATAATTAAAAAGTCACAATGATCAATAAAAAAAAAACAATGAGTTAGTGCAACAAACATATTTTTATTACAGTTTGTTTTGAAACAGGTATTAAATGGTTTACGAGATTGTATTTTCCATTCAAATGTGAATGGTATACCTTCGATGTAAAATCACTATCTGAGAAGCTACACAAGTGTACAGCCAAACAAATGTGTATTTGTGTCATGTGGATATAAACTTATGAAACTTACGTGTTGCATTCGTGTTGTGATTCGTCTTTCTAATCAGTTTTCTACAGATTTTATGATATCTGTCAATGTCTACATTGTTTATTCACATCTTTCTATATCTGATCGTTTTGCATGTGCTTTATTTTTTTTGCTCTATAAGTATGTTTTTAAATAAAAAATTATTTTAAATCTTTATATACTTAATGACAATTTTTTTAATTTAATACGATTTATTTTTGTAAAAGGATTCTGTATTTAGGAGCTAATATATATTGATTGCAAATTATAATTTTTGATTTAAAATAATTTTAAATAATATCTATTTGACATTAACCAAAACAAAAAGGTATAAAATTTAACGAGCTATTATAAAAATTTTACATTGCCTTTAGTAACAATGTTTAATTGCTAGTTTTTGTTTCTTTGCAGCATAGATAAAGTGCCGAAGGTAACGTCTCCTGTTCTGGTCATTCACGGCACCGAAGACGAAGTTATAAATTTTAGCCATGGTCTGGCGATTTACGAAAGATGTCCACGAGCAGTGGAACCATTATGGGTTGAGGTATTAAAATAATTAATATATTATATTATTCAAAAGTGCTTAATATTTTCTTTAGCATATTTTATTTATATTATTCTTACTTAATCTGTGCTTTCTATAAGCCAAATTAAAGATTGCTAAATATGTATGAAAATGTTTAAATACAAATATGTAATGAGCATTTTGATTGACAAAATATCCAATATACATTCCATTAAACGTATGATAATATTAATATTATATGATTATTTTTCAGGGTGCCGGACACAATGATGTAGAGTTATACAATCAATACCTCGAACGACTGAAACAATTTGTTAGCGTGGAATTGATAAACTGACGGCGACTCAGCCTCTCCCAAAGTCAGGGAGGACAGGGAGGGGGCCATATGCATGCAAACAGCCAAGGACGTACCGTTTCCAACAACTCTAATACCGTCAGTTCCATTTCGACAAGCTCTCCAACGGAAAAACTTGTCTAGCAGTCGCCTCCCACAGGGGAGAAGACACCTGTCCTTCCCTGTGACGAGGAATCATCTTTTGCCTCTGTAGATGATGTATTCTTCTTTCCGTGCGAACAGCAGCAGGCTGTAAATCAGGAAACTTATTATTCAGAGTCAGTCAAGAAAACGCGTTCCAAAGATGAGTACCCAAGTGCCGATGGTAATCCGAAAAAATCCAGTGTCAAGTCGGAGAATAAGAACTCGAAGCAGAAAGATTCTTCTCCATGCACAAAAGATAAAGACCAGAGTAAAGTTGTCGCCACTGAAGCAGTGACCGATTGTCACAATTTTCATCAATTTTTGAATCATACTGGAAAGATCGCCAAGAAACATACCTATCTACCAAAAAATTTGAAAAACCCCTTTGCTCACAGTCAAAAAAATATTGTCCACAGAAGCTTAAAGAATTCATTTGGTCAAAATCAGGAAAAGACAGATAGCCAAAGAACTCATACAACTTTAATTGATATACTTGTGGAGGATTGTCGACAATGTGCGATTGGAGAGAAATCGGTTGCATCATTTTCCAATGTTTCTGGTGATGTTAAAAAGGATGTTACTGATTGTAGAGGTACTCTTACTCAGTCCACCGAAAAAAAGTCTCCTGGATCTCGATTCAAGTACAACTGCATAGAATCGGCATTGGACTCGATTAACACTAATAAAGACAGCAAGCAACGTTATTACAATAAAATCTCTATTGTAGATAACATTACAAAGTTTAAAAGGCCTGATACAACACACACAAAAAATACGGAACTCACGAAGAAGTTTCCTTGGAATTGCACGTGTACTAAAACGAAGAGAAATCTCGACAAGTGCAAGGAACAGGAGAAGAACGATTCTGCCGAGAGCTTTGATTCCTGTAATGACGCAAAGCAGTTAAAGAAGAAGAAACCTGCTTGTAGTCCATTGAAAAAATTCGGCCGATCATCTCTGTCAGTGGGCGCGGACAAAATTGCGATAAATTTGCCCAAGTATTCTCCCTGCGCAAGCAGATTAGCCGCAAGCTCAAAAATTTTGTCGTCTGATCGAGTGGCAGATCCAGAGAGTCCGCTTCACGTTCCACGCTCGAGGAGTCCATCTCACGTCGATGTGCAAACCGAGAACAACCCTTCGAAGCATTCGGAGAAAACGTCGATACAGGCCAGTTTATCACTCAACATACAACAATTTCAAAAAACTCGGTATACTCTGCGTAGCAAGAGTGTAGGTGACAGCTGCGTAACGTCCCCAACAAGTGAAGCGACTACCGTAAGTTACTCGCCTACTGGTACAGAGATATTATCCCTAGAAGAAGTCGGACCGCATACGTCGCATACATCATCGGCCGAAGGCTCGGGTAGTAGTTATTCAGAGGTCAAAGAAAAACTGGACGCCGAATGTTCTGACAAAGTCAGAAGAGCGACTTTGGAGACAAAGTGTTAATGATTCGTGAACTCTCGACGGCACGCCAAACCAGTGTTTTACGCCATTCTTTCTTCCACGTATATACATATATATATATATATACGTATTTTACGTAAAACGATCATGCAATTCCGTATGCGCGCGGTAAACCCATAGCGGGCTGTAATCGCGTTAGTGAGAAACTGTACACAAAGGCGAATATATATACGCGACATACATTTATAAAATTTATTATATTTCTAGATACGCGAGAGTATATATACTTGTGCATATTGAATATTCTTATCTACATATATACACACACTCAAACGCACGTGTGTTGCGTACACGCGTGGATATTAAGACATTAAGACCTGTTTTTGCAAAATAGGCTACAGAACGTTGTTGCGACAAATGTGTCGAGTATTATTATTTTTATTATTCTCTTTAAAATTAGGATATCCAATGGTTCCCGTGTGATTGTCGAAACATTTCTTTGCCTCGAGAAAGTGCGACGGACGTTGATAGCATGCAGTGAAAAGGTATCTCGCTGAATATCCGCATTTTCTTAATTTATTAAAAAATTAGTGTCATTAAGTTTTTTTTTTTTTATTGAGCTAAAGCTTTTAATCCTTTAGCTGTAGATGGCACATACATACATTCTAAGCAAGTTGCCTCATTTGCGGAAGGCGTACATGTATGCTCTCGTAAGATAGGACCGTGCGACCGTGCGCGCGCGAATTAGATTTACGGAAGCAAGAGGAAATGTCTCTCGAAATCTTTCCAAGTTTTTTTTTCTTCACTTGTCGAGCAGATCTGGTTCAGCGAGAAAATGCGGATCTTTTCAAATTGCATGTTTTTGCGAGTGATTGGTATTTGTACAATGCCAGTGATGAACGATAGTTGTAACAGTAATGAGGGCATTTGTTCTTATATCCGTGATGAAGACCTGTTCTTACAGTCGGACAGGAGAATTGGAAATCTTCCAAGTTAATAAAGATTTTAGCACGCGGCGGTCACAGGCGTCACAGCACAGTTTGGAATTAGCAAACTGAAATAAGAAATTATAATGATGAGCACGCAGTGCGTCCCACAAGAACGTCTTTGTTGGAATCTGAATAGGACAAAAATCTTGTCAACAACAATAAGAATGCAAATAGTTAGGGACAATATTACTGCCAAACTTGACTATGAATTAATTAATTTCTAAGAAAGTGAGAAAATGCATGTGAAGGACCTCGTCTATATAGGTACGTTTCTCGTTAGTATTTTTATATCTCGGTAATGTAAATACAATACAGTAAATGATTTTTTTCTTTATCGATGTATGCGACAGTGTAAGGCGGTTGCGTGGAATGCCAATTGCGTAGATAATCGTGAAATGCACTCTTTTGCGTAAAGCAATTTTGCTACTTCTTAAGGCATTCTATAAATTGTTGATACTTTTTACCTGTCAAAATTGTTTATCGGATATCGCGATATCAATGTTCGCGAAGTGAAAAAAGTTTTAAGACGATCGATTTTACCTACTAAGATAGGAAGTGATACATCGTAAGTGTAAGTCGGTTTTTACCGTTCAGGCTACTTGTGCCACAATGTCCTCGTAACTTGTTGGAGATGTTACAAGCGGAAAAATAAGAAAATGCGACAGACGTACGAAGAAGTGAAGAAAATAATGCAACTTAGTTACGTAAAAGCAAGATTTTGCTATGCTTTACACGGCATCCTTTTTCACGACAAAGCTTCGTTCAATCTACACGGTGATTCAAATATCTGTAATAGATCTGATGATGGAGACATTTAAGCAAGAATAGATTAGTGGATTTTTCAAGTTATCCAAATATTTTTTATTAGTATTGAATGATAAATAGGTACTAGGCATTACAAATCTATCAAAAGACGTTTCAGAGACTATTTCTTTGGCAAATTTATAGTTGACTTTTTTTTGCTTTGGGAAGTTGAAAAAGACAACGGGGAATCTTAACCCCATAGAAAATTAATTCTGGGCTACAATATGTAAGAAATAGGAATTTCATACGTAAATAATGCATATTATAAAATTAAACGAAATATGTACACTGTGATACTAAGATTTAATTTCTTGGCAAATATTACGTTAAAAAATTCATAAAGGAATAATTTTATACTCATACCATTTCAAATATGAGACTTTGTGTTTGATATTTTGTTATTACAATAAATTATGATATTAATACTTTTATATTTAGAGATCTAAATGTAATGGTATTTGGACATCTCTTGATATTTGTTGAGAGCTTAAAGTAAAATCGATTTTTATAATTCGGAAATATTCGGCTTAAACAATCTTGTTACGAGAATTGGTAAAAAAAAAATGTAAAAAATAAAGCACTGAAAATAAGATATCCTATACATGCATGTAACATTTATAAATTCAGTAATTTAAATGAAATAGAACAATACTTTTTCTTTATAATTCTCAAAAATAATGGTACTATTTGTTCTCAGATTATTATTAATATTGAATAGTCTACTTATAAGCATATAATACAAGCATGATTATCATTTAGATATTCTCTAAAATTAACTTACACTTTATACTCTTACTTTCGTTGCACTATACATTTATCAAATTCTTACTTGAATGTCTCCATATTTCGTTTTCATGAGCGACAATATCCCGTATTTATATCGCATATTTAACGTTAGATGTAGCCGTCGAATTCTGAATCCAATTTATTTAATATGAAAAATCTATTTAACATTGTGTGGCGAACTGACGATTATATTATCACATGTGATATGTGATAACATAATGTTGAATGAGGTGCCAATAAGTCAATGTTTACTTTAAAACTATTCTGTTTGTATTGTCCAAATCTCTTTCATTTTGCACGGAACATATACATATACTCGTATATTAACAGGGCCGGCTGCAGAAATGAGTAAAGTATCTATAAGATACGTTTGCAATATTCCAAATTTGTGAGAAACAGATATAAAAAGCGAATGTACGGTAAAAACATTGGTTTATTTTTTTTTCTATATTTACGGAACATTCTGTTCTGATAAACTTTACTTTCGCAGCAATTCGATTATGTATTCTGGTCTCAAATCTTTACCATAATCTACAAACATTAGTGCAATGTATAAAAATCGATAAAAATTTACAAAGATATTATTAGGGAAAGGAGGGAATGAAGGTAGTAAAATGGCAGAAAATTAAAAATTCGGAGCGGCAGAAAAACTTAGAGCCGGTTTTGTATCCTATAGTTCCTGTTGTCATATCGCAATTTATATTCAAAATGTACTCCATACCTCGTGATACCATTGTGCATCAGTTTTTATTTCTTTTATTCCCAACCGATTTCTACATAACTATCGCTGTTGATCGCTGTTTTTATTCGCGATCGATTTCAGTGATTAATAATTTAGAAGGCTAAGATATAAAACTCGCAATAAGAATTATGTTGTTCGTCAGAGAGATTTGTATAATACCTATCGATTTCGATATACTTGAATTCTCCTACTTTTTTCTTTTAATTTTTAGCGTAAACATCTCCCTCTCTCTTCTTTTCCTCTCTCCCTTTCTCTCTTACTTTTGCTCGCGTTTCTTCGCTGTCCCTCTCCTTCACACGCTCGCAAATGATCGACCGGTTTTGAACAGTACTATCGTCTTTCACGATCGCGTCGTCTGGAAAGAAACTGGTACTCTCGATGCTCTCCAAGCGAGTACCGCGGATTCACGTCATTCACGATGCGTTGATATTCATAACTGTACATAATAGCGTGTAAATTAAGTAATAGGCAAAAAAAAGCAACATTACGTATTCGATGTTCTTTTCGGTCGTGTCTAATGTACTTAACAAAGGGGAGAATCCGTGTTTAAGGACAAAAAACGCGTTTTGATAGCGAAGCGATTATAGCTGTGATTGTTGAAGGTAAAAGTAAGGGAGAGACATTGTGAGAGAGAAGCTATATTTAGATGAATGCGGGAAGCTTTATTGTAAACGCGTACGTTTGAGAGGAAATGGAAGAAAGAGAAGGAAAGGCTTGTCCTCGAACAAATATTGGAATCGTTTATTTAGCGCATAAGAACATAATTAGGGAAATAATGACATATGTTTCTTTATATAAGAACGCGTAGGAAAAGCGTAGAAACACCGCTAGATACATATACCCGAATAAGAAGGATCATTTTAGAGTTTTATACTTCCATCGCACTTGACTTGGGCGTACTATCATCGCGCAGTACTTTACTAATCCTGTGGAAAACGTTAACACAATGTATAATTATGATGTAAATTACATGTTTAAGCACATATTATCAATTTAACGTGTTTTATTTAACTAATGATAAAGACCTGAAGGAGGGGGGGGGGGAGCGGAAGGATAATATCTATAATAGAAATTATTGCGAATTAAAGTATAATATAATTGAGAAATAATTTATTATTAGAGCAATATTCAGAGATGAAGCATTTTTTGTACATCGAATTAATATGACTGATAAAGTTATTTATACATCGCAATATAGCAAGGATTATTTATAAGACGATACTTTCTCATGTTTTCTTTTATCATAAATTAAAATCCAAGTAAATGCTATAAATTAACTATAATCTTAACTTAAACTATTATCTCTTGAACGAATATTATCGTTTATTAAGATATAACGTTTTGACAATAAAAAATAAATGCGATTCGAGTAAATTGCGTTGCTTTACAGTTTACGTTGAATATTGTAACGTTGCAGATTTGAATCGTTCGTACATTGATAGCATATGTTTCTAATCATTTTCGAAAATATAACATACTTGCGCATGTAGATTGTCGCCAATGCGCTACTTTGTCTCGAAGGTCAATGCATTTCTGCGACGAAGAAGAAGAAAACGTTGTGCCATGTATATAGGCTGGTTTACCACTCCGACCGGCACCTCCGCGACTCACCTGCGCTGAAACCTGATGCCAACGATAAAAATGAAAACAGGTTACACGGCAGCTCGCGCTCGAATGGCCACGCTGCACCTCTAAAGAACAAACCAAGTCGCTTCGAGGAAGAGACCATCTTTTTCGTTATCGTATGCATCCCTAATTAACTGTTATACTCTCTTTCGATTGTGAATCCTTTAATTCTTTATTCATTCTTTCAAACATTTCCTTTACGAAAACCGTCAAGGTATCATTAACTCCCATCAGTTTCAGTGTTAAATTTTAAATGATTGGACATGAATAGATCTTTATAAATCACATTCTCGTAATATCAATAAACAACAGAAGTTTACTGTTTCTCAAACAATTTTAAATAAAACTTTACTTCAATTATACATATAATCTAGATTTTTTAAATTAAGATTTCTTGCTTAAGACTTATAATTATTGATAGAAAAGCAGTAAAAATAATATTGTTTTATAAACAAGATAATTTTTTGGTTAAAAAAAATTATCTTGTAATTGATAAAAGAATCCGGAGATAAAAAATTATTGCGAATAATTTTTGTCATATATGTATACCGTAATCAATCGAAATTTATCGTTGGGTAATTGGGTATGAGCCCAAGTTTGATTGTGTATACTTTTGATTGATTTCCCTTATGCCATTAACCTATAATCAATATATACATAATAGTCTGATAATCGCGGAAAATTATGATTTATTGCAGCACGATGAACGAGCGAGCAAGTTCAAGCAATTTATACGCGAAAAACAACGTTTAAAAAATTGATTTTTTATCTTTCTTCCAAAGAGATCCAAAGAGAAAAAATATTTGAATTTGTCGAATTCAAAGAAAATAATTAATAATTATAGAAAAATTTATTAGAGACCCCAAAAATTAAAAAAGAATGAGTATAGTGTCAAAAATCGATTTTGTATGATTTTTAATTTCTATTCATTTTGATGACAGAAATAATTAACAATTTGAGATTATATTTTTTTAGATGAAATATCGATGCGATAAGATACGCAATAAAATTAATTAAAGAATAGGATAATGAGGGGCGAATTTGCCCGTTAACGTCACGTCCGCAGCCATACAGCGTCGCGCAGTCTGCAACCATACAGACTTACGCTTGCTCTGTGCCACATGCTGCTGTCCATTGTCCAGACTCGATCCCCTGCATATACTTCTGTATATACGTATAGTAGCGCATGTCACACATAAATATACGTGCGCGCGCCTACACACAGGCATATATTACGGTCTGAAATAACTCGTGGCGAAAGAGAGCATACGATGCACGATAATATAATGTAGTTATATCCTTTAACATTATAACGTGCACACGTTACACGCGTCACCGCTTTGTCTCGTAACGCACTTCCGTCGCGGAAGCGGAATTATCACCGTGAGTGTCCTGGTTCGCACGAAAAATCTGGGGGTAAAAAGCGATTTCATATACGCGATCACGAAGAAAGTTCGTTTTTTTTTTGTGCTTTTGTAGTCGATTATTGATCAACCGATTAATTCGATGTAATATAATGATATAATAACAGAGAAAAACATGAGCAAACGTTGACCGACGTTGGTAGAATCGGTCCTTAAATCGATTAAAGTAACCGCTGCGATTAAAGTAACCGCTCACGAGGGTTCTCTTTTATGGCGGACCAACGATCCAGAGAGCAGACGCAGTGCTTCACCGATACGCAAATGACGAGCATCTGACCGCGTTCATCTCGTATTACAAATTAATGAGAAACTCGCTCCCGCTCTATAACACACGCTGCGAAGTACTTCGCGCACGTTTATATACACCCGCGTTCGTGGACACGTGATCGCGTAATACGGCCGTTGTCGTGTTTTTAATGCGATATCAAGAATTACGATGTGCACGCTATCAGGGCGCGGCGACATTAAATGTTTGATTTGTTCGGTCGAATTGTTTGAATTATACAACATATGGGCAAGGCCAATTACTTCTCGGCGCTACGCAAATGATTGGACAATTTTAATTAATTACATTATTGTCCCGTTCCTCGATTAATAGCATCTTATGCTCTTTATGTCCCGCCAGATGTAAAATTTCAAGAGAAAATTTACATTTTTAATTTATTTTTTTTGCATTGATTTTTCCTCTTTGATGTTTTCGAAATATACCAGTTAACTAAGCTTGTTTTCATATATTGATGCTTACACTTTTAATATGTATATTATGTACTTTTGAGGGAATTTTGTCAACAATTTTTGTGGACATTTCATTTTATAGCAACACGAACAAATCAATAGAATTATGAAACATTATAATTTTTGCAAATCAATTTGAATTACGTAAATTTTTCACTCTTGTCCAGGCTGAAAAATGATATCACGAATAAATGTGAATGTAGCGGGCGACGTACGTACACCATGGGTGGGGGTATGCGCGGTGGCGCACTGCGCAGGCGTACCAATCCGGCGCGGCGGCCGTACCGGCGTAGTAGTGGGGCAGAGCGCCGCCGCTGGCAGCCTGGCAGTAGTTGCGACTCGAGCGGCGTGTGGTGCGTGTCTCGTTCCGTCCCGTACGTGTGTTTTTTCGCGCCGCGGTCGGAGACTCTGCGTGTGCCGACGCGTCCGCGTGGCTCGCGATTTCTCTTTTCTTTTTTTCTTGTTTTTATTTCGCGGGGCGCGCGCGTGCGTCATCATTAACAGCGCCGCGCCGGATTGTGAAACGGCTTTTCGGCACGGCAGACGCAGCACGCAGCAGCAGGTGCTGCACGCGGAGCGGAGCAGTTGCCGGACGTTACCGAGAGAGTGACGCGTCGTTCGGAGTAAAAGGCGGAGTGGTGTTCTAGTGTTACACTTTGTTGTGCCAACCATTGGATTCTTCCCTCGCCTCGCCCTCCAGTTTACAATTTATCTCGGCGAGCTCCTTCGTCCCACGACAAAATTGGACCCTGTCGAAGGCCTTGCACGCGAGACTGTACATCTCTCGAAACGGCGTTTCTTTGGGAACTTTTGTGGCGGACGCTCGGCTCGGCGCGGCGGTGAGGATACTCGGTGTGACTCGACGCGCATTCGTCGTCGACCCCCCCTCCTCCGATTGGCTCTGTCTTCTTGGTAAGTTTGTTCTCCATTATCCGACAGGAATGCTCGTCAATCTTCTCGCGACAGCGGACAGCGCACGATTCAGTGCCGATTCCGATTTAGACGGAACAATCGTGACAAGACAAACGATAGCTTGCCCATTTACACTCATTTTCTGTATTTTGAGTTGAGCGTTTAACGAATGACTTCCGCCATATTTAAAATTTGATAATAAGAATCTGACATTTTATCCGATTATAAAAGAAAACCAAAATTTGCTTTTGTTTAACACGAAAAGTGTACTGCAAAGCAATTTGTTTCAAAAAGTCAGTTGATAAGATTCTCGTTAAATATATTATAGAGTACGTGACTTAGATGACAGGCGGGAAATAGCGCAGCAGTGTAGAAAGTACAGGTGCGACGCGACAAATTTAGAATTACCGGTTTTTAAACAATTGCGCTCGACCCGCAGTTTACATTCTCTTCTTTTACCATGACTGCTTTGACTTTTATATTATGTGATCTTTTGTTTGGAATTCGAACTGTATATTCTTGTCGTCCGTTATATAAAACTTGTTTACAAAGTGAAATGTGGTATTATCATTGTTTAATATGAACTTTTTTCATATTGAAATTGGTTAGTTTCAGTGTTATTAAATTTGCCGTAATGTTTCAGTATTATTGATAGTCAATTATTTTTATACTAAAAATTATATTGTTTTATTAAACTATACAAACTGATCCAATTTGCGGTCTTAAATTTAATGGTAGATTCTCCATGGATTCGATCTTTTCTTCATAAAAATTTCGAAATAGTTTTTGAGTTATAAGTAAAAAGTGATGTTAACAGAAAGTTGCGATAAATTTTGTGTGTATGTGAATTCCCTTGATATTTTTTGGTAAAAAAGCTTGGCTACATATTTCTCAGAGAATCTATCATTTAAGATAGTTTCGAGTTATGAGACAAAAAAATCTGCACATCAACATTTATGACATATTGTGATATATGACATAAAACGATATACATATAAGGTTGATTCTTTCTCTTTCTCGAAAAATTATTTTGCCATGTAGATATATTTTAAGAGCGACGGGAATATATTATATGGATATATTTTTCAAGTATACGTTAAATTTTGTAGAATTTTTCAAGTATATCGCATGTCCGAATTTAAATGTATACATTCTTCGAAGGCTCATATCTCTTGCAATATGGAATTTCAAATAATTCAGGTTCTGTTCTTCTCAGTTTTTGTGTATCTTCTTCAGATGTTTTTTTTTCTTTTTCCCTTCTTTCACAATTCAAATTCCTATCATAGAATGTATTT